TTGAGTGGCAGCCGGTCTAGGAGAAGGAAAACTGTAAGCTGGCGAAGCACATACTCTGCAGCTAAGTAAAGGATCGTTGACTCTGTGATCCCGACTACCGTCGATTCCTTTTTGTATCACTTAATAACTTTTTTTCATTGTCATCTCCCCCAAACCCTGCTCTGCCATTTTTTCGCTCAGGTTCGCCGAGTAGGCTGTGCGTTTCTTTCCTCTGATCCGCTTACCTTAAATCTTTCCTGCGGGTATAAAATTTTCCAAGCCTCACACATCCTAAAACTTTTACGAGCGGACGAGTCAATTTGAGTCGTGTCCTGTTTCGAAAAGAAAAATACCAGATTACATTAATTTGATTTCGGGAGTCGGATAATAGAACGCTATCAAGATTTATACAATCCATATGAACAAGTCGGAAGCCCTAGAGAGATTGATAGGGCGGGAGACACCGGGGTGTATATTCGGATCAGATCCACCGGACAGTAGTGTCATAAAAATGCACTATAAATTAATTGAAACGAAAGTTTTATCTCCAAAGGCTTCACCGAATAAATAGGGCATATTTCTTACTTTACCTCTTTCGCTCCTACTTATCTCTGTTTCTCACTTTAGCTGTTGCCGCTTCCTGGGTATAATGGCTATAAACTACACCCGGCAGCAAGGCCTCTGTTTGTGAGGTTTTGAGGAACGTAGAACAGGACTTAATTGAGACATTTACTTACTATGAATTCTTTGAATACTAAGAGCCTTATATTCGAGTTGTCAGATGGAAGACACATGCCAAGTACTTTCGACAATTTCAAGTTATCATCTTCAGGGCGCAATTTTCTTATATATAGCCAAGTATTAATACGAAATATGTGTAGGCCGAAAGATGTTTTTTTAAATTATGTTATTTATTGACAGTTGAATATGTTTTCTAGCATGCGATGTCGCGATGCTAGAGTTCTTGTTCAAATCGATCATTAAGTCCTGTTAGCGAAGAGATTTCGCCATTATTCACATTAACATTGCTATTTAATTCTTTACGTAAATTGTTTCTTTATGATATATATATATATATATATATATATATATATACTAGCAGGAGAGCCCGGCGTTGCCCGGGGATGTCACAGTAAGAGATAGATCAAGTATCGACCATCATAAAGACTGAAAAATAGAATTGACAAAAATTATTGTTTAAGGTTGACGGACACGCATGTCTTAATTATTTTTTTTTTGTTTGTTTTTTTTTTTTTACGAATTGGTCAAACCCAAACTCAAACAAAAACATTGTTTTCAATTATTATGAGTCTATCGATTGAATAGAATGTTATTATAAACAATTGTCTTGTAAATGTAATTTTTAAAGCATTCTGAATGTAAAAATAAAGAAAAAAGTGTGCAAGACAATAAGAAACACTACCTGCCAAAAAAAAGTGAATCGGTTGAAAAATTTAGGAAATCCGATCCCATATATAAACGAACACACACACACACACACACACACACACACACACACAACCTGGGTTTTATAATAAGTATATAACTCGATATGAGTTGTCCCCCATTTCTTTCTGGCGACAGAATCGTGTTTTATCGTGTTTTCAAATTGATTTTGTGCAAAAACAATTGTGTTTTTCCAATTTTTGGTGCTGTCAGAACCACCGCAAGGTAATTTTACACAGTCCTGTGAAGTTTTGTTGAAATCGGTTGAAAAATGTAGGAAATCCAATCCAATATATAAACGTACAGATACACAGACACACACACACACAATCTGCGTTTTATAATATGTAAGATTATTCTAAAAATAGACCTAATATGAATATCAAACTCTTGATAATAACGGCGAAGCTCGAGCTGTGGCCCTTGATATCCCAAAGACGTTTGAAAGGGTTTGACACGCTGATCTTCTACGGTATTACTGAGCGGTAGTGTCAGAGCTATGCCGCCCGGAACTTCGTTCCTGGTAGGGCCACCCAAGGCGGACAGGTCTGACACACACGCCGGCTAACAAGGGCTCTGGTAAAAATTCAAGGAGCGTCTGCATCGGTAACCGGCGGCTTCTGGTCGTTCCTGTCTCTGCGTCTGTGGGAATCCCGCGGCAAGCAAGAACGTTATCCGAGTAGGCCTGGGTACCCTACTTCTGTAATTTATCCCAAGAATCTTCTTCTCATAACAGGAAGAAGCCGGCTCAATCCGCCCAGGGTGAATGCCGCATCAGTCAGTACTCCTGTCTCGATAGCAAATCTGTCAGAACTTACAAAGATTACCTGGCCGCTTGCTCGTGGAAAGGATCTCTAATCTGCGGTTAACTGGAGCAGGAAATAGCTCATAAATATGAATACATCGAAAACAAAACTACTCTCATTGAACCACCATAGAGAAACTTTCCTGACCGCCATCAGCATGGCTGACGCTAGACTCCTGGAGAGCCACACAATGCGCCTTCTTGGCCTCACGTTTTCAACTGGTTTGAAGTGGAACGACTACATCGAATCAATAGCTGCATATACTGTATGGAAAGTTGGGTCACTGTGTCTTGCTAGCAAATTTTTCTTGTCAGAATCCATCTTGTGCATTTACATATCAACCATTCTTCCGTGCATTAAACATTGTTGGAATATCTGGTTTGGTGCTCTTGCTATACATCTCGAGATTCTTGACCAAATCCAAAGAAGTATCTGAGATTTAATCGATCCTGACTTGGCATCTCAACTTCAGTCACTTTCTCACCACGTGACGTGGCTTCCCTCTGTCTTTTCTACAAATATTTCCATGGCAACCGCTCTGACGAGCTTTTAACTCCGTTGCCGGGACTACATGAGTTTATGCGTGCTACTAGATTGACATCTAGGTCTCACCTTTTTACCGTTGAATCAGTTAAATGTAACCATCACTTCTACTCAGTTTCTTTTTCTCGCACTTCACGCCTGTGGAATTAACTTCTGAGTCCTTGCTTCCCTAATAACTACAACCTTCAAAAATATAAGTGCAACGTCAGTCGCCATTTTCTATCTTATTGAACCCCGTTCCGCTTTTATCCTTTCCTCGCCCCCCCCATACCCAATCTTTTCTCTAACCATTACTCTCTATAACCCCCTGAGTATTAGTGGCTCTCCCGCCTTACTTGGGGTGTAATGATTATAAAAAAAGGATTACGAAAAATATTTCCCAAATTTTTAAGATTACTGAGTCGTTAAAAAATTGTATAAAAATGACGCTCACGTTATATTCCTCAAGCAATTTTTACAGATATGTTCACCGTAGAAAAACATTAGATAAACTTCCGTGTGTCAGTCAACCTGTCAACACCTTAAATAAACACCTAACTTCGTGTTGTAAAATACATTTCTGTGATATTTTAAACTTAATGGAAATAATACTTGTTTCAAATCAGATTAATTAAACTTTAAATCAACTAATCTTCTTCAAATAAAATTTCAGAAAACTATTTTATTTTTGAAAGATTTATATATTTTTTAAAAAAACATAATTTTGGTGCCATTTTAGCCATCCGTCATCACAAATAAAATGGCACTAAAATTATGTTTAGCAGTTTCAAAGTGAAAACTCTTTCCAGTCAATTTAAATTAGTTTTTAAATGCAGCAAAGTATTTTGCTTATTGGAAAAATTAGATTTAATCAATTAAGTTGAAACTAAAACTAAAATAAAAGCTTCAAGAGAGATTTTTCTTTTTTTAAGAAACCGTTTCAACCCATAGGTATCGCGTTTCTTCAGCCTCAAATTTCTTTTATTAAATTTTATTTTTTTGCTTTTTTTATCTTATATTGCGTAATATTCTTATGGTTAGTTTATTTATGGGATTATATTGATGACATATCTACTGATACCTTTATCTTTCCAATTCCCCAGTTAAATGATTTCCCTGTTATACTCACTAACTATAGATAACGACTCGTCTAAACAGAATGAAAAAAAAAAGTCCTTTTGTTAACGATCAGCTAAGAACCACTAATAACTTTTGATCGTAGTAAATACTTTCAACAGGATGCTAAAAACTGCGCCCAGTTGGACGGGCTTTATTGTTTAATATTTATAATATTTATAATATAATGAGAATCAGAACTGAGCGAGCTTTGATAGAACGAAGAGACTCACCTTAATTTTAACTGAAATTGTAACTTTATTATCTATAGGAATATGTGTTATTGATAGCATGTGTTGGGGAGGGGAGTCATTGTTGTGCAATATTCATGGTGACTCATCCGAATTTTACAAGCCTAATCTTTGTTGACAAGACATGAACTCATAAAAATTTGCTTTTTTATTGTCGAACAAATAACATTTTATAACTAAAAATGGTAAGGCAAGGAACTGTAGAGAGTGGAGTGGATTGAATTGGAGTGGATAGATAGATAGATAGATAGATAGATAGATAGATAGATAGATAGATAGATAGATAGTGTGCATGTGTGTGTGTGTGTGTGAGAGAGAGAGAGAGAGAGAGATAAATCGCCATACTGAACAAGAGAAAGAAAGAAAGACAGACAGATAGAAAGAAAGTAAGAAATAAAGAAAGAAAGAAAGTAAGTAAAAGGGGAAGACGTAATAATATAAGAAAGAAAGAAAAAGAGGAAGACGTAATAATAAAAGAAAGAAAAAGGGGAATAAGTAATAATATAAGAAAGAAAGAAAGAAAGAAAGAAAGAAAGAAAGAAAGAAAAAAAGAAAAAGGGGAAGACGTAATAATAGAAAATAGAAAAAAGCGAAGAAGTAATGATATAAGAAAGAAAGAAAGAAAAGGGGAAGACGTAATAATATAAGAAAGAAAGAAAAAGGGGAAGACGTAATAATATAAGAAAGAAAGAAAGAAAGAAAGAAAAAAGAAAGAAAAAAGGGGAAGACGTAATAATATAAGAAAGAAAGAAAGAACGAAAGAAATAATGTAAGAAAGAAAGAAAGAAAGAAAGAAAAAGGGGAAGACGTAATAATAGAAAAAAGGAATAAGAAAAGAAGTAATAATATAAGAAAGAAAGAAAGAAAGAAAGAAAGAAAACTAACAATTGAGAAGAAAAAAAGGAAGGTAGAAATGGAATTGAAAAGGATGATGATGTTATAAAAGTTAAAAAGGCGCTAAAAGTTAAGAAGTTAAGCAATGAAGAAAAAAAAAAGGAACAAAAGAGAAAAAGTACGAATATCGAATCAGCATAAAAAGAAGGAATTGTAAACCGAAAAAAAAAGAAAGAATGAAAGTTGAACGACCGAGAGTATAAATGAAAAAAAAAAACAAAACGAAAAATGATAATACGATTGCAAGCAATCCTGTTAACAGCATAAATATTCTACAGTCAATGGCGCCATGAATATTTCCGGCCTTAGGCAGACAATTTCATGTTCTATTCATACATGTAATGATCAAACCTCACTTTGGATATTGCTTTGTAATTAATCATACGATTGTTTTTTTAATTTCATTTCATAATTATTTTTCCTTCCTTCTCAGGGTAACACTTCTAAAACAGATACCTTGACTGTACGGCTAATTTAGGAGACTTACTGCCACTAAAGTCAAGGCAACTAGTTGATCTGATTTGTCAATAATAATAATTATTATTATTATATCAACAATAATAATAATAATAACAACAACAACAATAATAATAGTAATATTAATAATAGTAACAACAAGAACAATAACAATAATAACAGCAAAAAGACAATAAAAAAATAATAATAATAGCAACAACAACATTAATAATAATAGCAACAATAACAATAAAAATAACAGCAACAACAATAATAACAACAATAAAATAATAGCAAAAACAACATCGATAATAATAATAATAATAATTGTTATAAAGACCACAAACAAAAACGGTGCCTCCTTATTGATATGGCAGTCCCTGCAGACTGCAATGTATCTTTGAAGATATTTAAAAAGCTGTCAAAGTACAAGGACCTTGAAATAGAAATCTCGAAAATGTGGCATATGTGAACATCAACAATCCCTGTTGTAGTTGGAGCCCTAGGACTGGTTGGAAAAGATTGCAGTAGACTAATTGAAAGGATTCCTGGAAATCCATTCCTCAAGGAGATACAAAAAATTGTTCTGACAAGTACAACCCACACCTTACGAAGGGCTTTATCTATGTAATTTAATTCTTTTTTTTTTTTTTTTTTTTGTCAGTGGAAAGTTTCATGATGCCATTTCTAACCTTAGGTCCCTGGGCGGGACCCGGAAAGAAATGTGTAAACGCCAAAAATCAAAGAAAATAATAATAATAATAATAATAATAATAACATATTTAGCACCAACTGAATATAATACTCGGCATGATATGGAGGGCCAATATCTGCACTAGAAAATATGCAACTTCTGCGGAAAGGAAGCTGCAAGAAACTGGTATGAACATCACCCAGACCCCAGTTTACAGAGATATAGGGCCTGTAACAATTTCATAGGACTTTACAATACACACAGACAGAACAATTACATCGTGATCAAAGACCACAAAAACAGAATGTGCTTTCTTATTGACATGGCAGCCCTTGCAGATTATAATGTATCTTTGAAGATCTTCAGAAAACAAGAATCTTAAAATGGACATCACATGGCACATGAGGACATCAATAATTCCAGTTGTAGTTGGAGCCCTCGGATTGATTGTAAAAGATTGCGATAAACTCATTGAAAGAAAATACAACAAATTGTACTCACAAGTACAGTTTCCACCTTACGAAGAGTTTTATCTATGTAAAATGTCTTTCATCTTAGTCTTTTTTGGGGGGGAGGGGTTGTAATTTTTACAAATTTATCAGTGGAAAATGTCACGAAAACATTTCTGAACTTAGGTCTCTTGTTGGGATCCGGAAAGAAATATGTATCGAACAGAAATCAAAGGACATAATAATAATAATAATAATAATAATAATAATAATAATAATAATAATAATAATAATAATGACCTTGAAATAGAAATCTCAAAAATGTGGCACATGGGAACATCAACAATTCCTGTTGTAGTTAGAGCCCTAGAACTGGTTGGAAAAGATTGCAGTAGACTAATTGAAGGGATTCCTGGAAGTCCATGCCTCCAAGAGATACAAAAAAATGTTCTCACAAGTACAGCCCACATTTTACGAAGGGCTTTATCTATGTAATTTTTTTTTTTTTTTGTCACTGGAAAGTGTCATGATGCCATCTCTAACTTTAGGTCCCTGAGCGCATATGTCAATATAACGAATTCGGTATCTGTCTATATTTCTGTGATGAGGGATTATGTACATTATTTACATTATTCGGACTATTGTCCTTATCTTTGTCGCCATATTTATTACAACGTTTCGGCCGTTGTACGCTCCGGCCTTCTTCAGTTGGTTGGAATGTCGAACTGAACTCTTTATTTCACTCACTGGTGTAGACTGTTCTAGTTCCACTTGCCATGTTTAATGGATGTCAGTTATCAGTTATCTCCTGTTAATTTTCCCTCTGAAAGTTCTCCACTGCCTTAACCGGGTATTGAACTCACACATTTTGGGTCCTGTCACTGGGTCTAACCAACGCCTTTATCCTCAAGGACACATGACACAGTGGATAAAGGCGTTGGATGTTAGTTATCACTTATCTCCTGTTAATTTCTCTCTGAAAGTTCTCCACTGCCTTAACCGGGTATTTAACTCTTTGTGTTCTGACACTTGATCGCCTTTATCCACTGTGCCATGTGTGTTATAGAGCAGTTTTACAGTGGAGGCTTGTATTTCACTAAGTCGGTCCTAAACAGGTTCGACGTACAAAACGTTAGGAACTTGATATAATAGTTAATGACGCAGCAGTCTAGTTGTGGTGGCTGATACTTTAATGTCCGACATCGACTGACTGACCAACTCACCGAGCGACTGGCGACTGCTACTACTACTACTTATTATAGGTGGGAGAGTCTATTAACTATAGAATAGGTGTGTTCCAGGATAACAATGTGTCCTTAAGGACAAATAAAGGGTGCAGTTCGACATTCCAACTACCTGAAGAAGGCCGAAGCGTACAACGGCCGAAACGTTGTAATAAATATGGCGACAAAGATGAGGACAATAGTCCGAATAATGTAAATAGTGTACATAATACCTCATCTCCGAAATATAGACAAATACTGAAGGGCTGAAACGTTGTAATAAATATGGCGATAAAGATGAGGACAATAGTCCGAATAATGTAAATAGTGTACTTAATACCTCATCTCAGAAATATAGGCAAATACTGAAGGGCCGAAACGTTGTAATAAATATGGCGACAAAGATGAGGACAATAGTCCAAATAATGTAAATAATGTACATAATGCCTCATCGCAGAAATATAGACATATACTGAAGGGCCGAAACGTTGTAATAAATATGGCGACAAAGATGAGGACAATAGTCCGAATAATGTAAATAGTGTACATAAGACCTCATCTCAGAAATATAGACAGATAGTGAAGGGCCGAAACGTTGTAATAAATATGGCGACAAAGATGAGGACAATAGTGCGAATAATGTAAATAATGTACATAATACTTCATCTCCGAAATATAGACAGATACTGAAAGGCCGAAACGTTGTAATAAATATGGCGACAAAGATGAGGACAATAGTCCGAATAATGTAAATAGTGTACATAAAACCTCATCTCAGAAATATAGACAGATAGTGAAGGGCCGAAACGTTGTAATAAATATGGCGACAAAGATGAGGAAAATAGTCCGAATAATGTAAATAGTGTACATAATACCTCATCTCCGAAATATAGACAAATACTGAAGGGCCGAAACGTTGTAATAAATATGGCGATAAAGATGAGGACAATAGTCCGAATAATGTAAATAGTGTACTTAATACCTCATCTCAGAAATATAGACAAATACTGAAGGGCCGAAACGTTGTAATAAATATGGCGACAAAGATGAGGACAATAGTCCAAATAATGTAAATAATGTACATAATGCCTCATCTCAGAAATATAGACATATACTGAAGGTCCGAAACGTTGTAATAAATATGGCGACAAAGATGAGGACAATAGTCCGAATAATGTAAATAGTGTACATAAGACCTCATCTCAGAAATATAGACAGATAGTGAAGGGCCGAAACGTTGTAATAAATATGGCGATAAAGATGAGGACAATAGTCCGAATAATGTAAATAGTGTACATAAGACCTCATCTCCGAAATATAGACAGATACTGAAAGGCCGAAACGTTGTAATAAATATGGCGATAAAGATGAGGACAATAGTCCGAATAATGTAAATAATGTACATAATACTTCATCTCCGAAATATAGACAGATACTGAAAGGCCGAAACGTTGTAATAAATATGGCGATAAAGATGAGGACAATAGTGCGAATAATGTAAATAATGTACATAATACTTCATCTCCGAAATATAGACAGATACTGAAAGGCCGAAACGTTGTAATAAATATGGCGACAAAGATGAGGACAATAGTCCGAATAATGTAAATAATGTACATAATGCCTCATCTCCGAAATATAGACAGATACTGAAAGGCCGAAACGTTGTAATAAATATGGCGACAAAGATGAGGACAATAGTCCGAATAATGTAAATAATGTACATAATACTTCATCTCCGAAATATAGACAGATACTGAAAGGCCGAAACGTTGTAATAAATATGGCGACAAAGATGAGGACAATAGTCCGAATAATGTAAATAATGTACATAATACTTCATCTCCGAAATATAGACAGATACTGAAAGGCCGAAACGTTGTCATAAATATGGCGACAAAGATGAGGACAAGAGTCCGAATAATGTAAATAATGTAACGAATTCGATTGGAAAGTATGACGATAAACTACATTCCTTCCTTTTTCCCGTCACAATTAAACAAGCTCGTTAAGTATGCTCGTTGCCGTTTCCTTCATTTTATTAATTTCACCACCCCAACAGGCCCTGTGAGTATTAAATTCTCCAAGTCCTCTTTCCTCATTATACATCTTAGTAATTTCAACTACCTCTTTCTGAGTCTAAGTGCAAGTGTACTTTTTGTTT